ATCTTAGCAGATTCTAGTTGAATTGAACACGTATGATGTGGATACACATAGAAGTGGCACAGCTGGGTAACTTGTCTTTCACTTGATCAATCATAATTGGTCGGCTGGAAAGTGACAAACAAAGAGTGGCGGCAGTATAGGCCCATTTTATCGCTCTCGGCAATCTCAGATGTAAGACTTCACTAGCCACGTCCCCATTTTAAATTGCAATCTCATGAACAGTTGTTTCTTTTCAACTGTTATCAGTCTCTCTTTATTGTACCTGGTGTTCACGGTGTCTCCGTCTGAACTTGAAATCAGTACCCTAACAGACAGCATCGAAAACAGTTTAGAAACTATTTTCATATGGTCATTTCAATATTCAATATTATGTTATCGAGTTGAAAATCTTAACACATTCTTCACATTTCCGTCAAAAAAGAGTCAAGTTAACTCAAGTTTATGGATAATCATGTGAAGACCAGGGTGAATTTATTATAATAACATTTTTTAAAAATCTAAATAACAAAAGGTAGAAATCGCTAGAATCAAATCATTGCTATCTATACACACTTTATTCATTTCTACTAGAAATATACCAAAAAATTTACATTTAACCTAAATATGAAATCAGATGGTTGGTCAGACAGAATATGTTACAAAGTTTGATTGAAAAGTAAGAAACCATTTTTGTGCATTGTCGGTGAGATTGTCTAGAAAATCACTTGAGAGACAGACTGTGAATGAGTAAAACTTAAATTCATGAATTGATTCTCTAATTGTTACTATTGTTCTCTTGGGTTTCGAGTGGAATTTACGGCTTCAACAGCGCGTCTCCAATTTGTCCTGTTTTCTCTGCAGTCCTCCCATGCTGACCCTACGATTGTCAGTTGGTCTCTCATCTCCTCCTCGCCACATGATCTCCTCCATGTCAGCCTCGGACGACCCACTTATCGTTTCCCATTTGAGAGTATTTCTGACGTGCGATGTCACTCAACAGTCTCCGCAGACTGTGCCCAATCCATCTCCTTTTTTTTCAAAATATTTGTTGAATAACAAGTCCCTTCCCAGAATTCCTTATTGATAATTCTTTCTGACTGGCCATTTGATCTTTATTGTAGAGTCAGCGAAGGCAGCTGTTGATAAAATATCTACAAACTGTCCTAAAATCTGTTCATCACGCACTGGCCAAGTTCCTGCTCCATGTAGAAAAAATGACCTCCCATTTGTGTTGAAAATTCTAGTTTTGTTATTTATACTTGGGTGCAAATGATCTCCAAACTGATTTCAAAGTTTCATCATGAGCCGACATCAGTTAGAGAACCACTGGAAAACCAGCTGGTAGTGTGGTGAGTGCTACTTATAATCCAATATAAGTAGTATATCAGAAACGAAGTAACAATATGTTTGGCACACTGGAAAGAGCAATCAAAGAAGAGAATCATAAGAAAAATGTTGCCATATGATGCAGAATCCAAGAAGCTATCGAATGAGACGATATTTGACCATCGGTTAGTGGTCGCGCTATGTCGTGAATTGGCAGAAGTTGGAATTCATGGGCTGGCCATTGAATCGGGTCCCAGTGGCTGAATGGTATACGAGCTTTCTTTATAACCGGAAGGTCCTGGGTCCGAAACACAGTGGGTGCGTACTGCCGATGTGTACCAATTACAATGAAACAGCTATCCAGTAGTGCCAACTGGTTTTCAATGGTTCTCTAACCAATGCCAGCTCATAATGAAATCCTGTAACCAATCAAATCCCTACAAACCATTACTTGATTTCAGAGTGTTGAAGGTGTACCTTGTGTTTACAATTCTGGCTTTGACATTCTCATCTGCCCCGATTGTGGTTGAAACGATTCTTCCCAAATAAGTGAAGTAGGTAATCTCTTTGAAATTTCCTCTGTTGATAGTGATTGGTGGTGTTTGTCGTTGTTGTTGTTGGTGGTCGGTGTGTTTCTTCATCCTTTTTGTCTTCTCTAGATTCCCATGAATCCAGCCAGTCTTCGTTACCTCTTCTGCCATTTTGTTGAATTTCGCCTGTAACTCTCTTCATTTGTGTGACATTAGACATATATCATCCGCCAAGTCCAGATCTTCTAGAGACTTCTTATTGGTCCAGCGTATCCCTATCTTCCCACTCTCCACGTACGGTGTTCAGCACCATAATTAATAATATCATCGGTGATAATAGCAGGCCGCGTCTTACTCCTGTCTTCACTTTTAAGTTCATAACTAATCCCCATTTAGACATTGTTGAAAACATAAAAAACATAGTTCCGCAAAAAGGCTCTTTTAGCGAATTCATTTTCTCTAGCTGTAGAGTCGTATTTATATTTATGCATCATCTCTGAGAACATCCTTTACAACAAAGCTAAGACTCATGTTGTCCAGTGGTCCACTGGTCTGCAGAAGCCTTAAACACACGACCTCACATCTGATCACTTCTATGTGCATTATATCAGCTCACCTGTTCTTGTGGAGCCAGGTATATTGGTCGTTCGACGTGCATCCTGTTTAAAAGCCCTGAATAACTCTATCCCGAATGATTCCAGAAAGGCAGTAGTGTGGCTCTGTAAGGAGTGGGATAATCGAACACCATGTCAATACCGGCCACTCCATTTCAAAGTAATCTACAAAGTGAAGAATAACCCGCTAGGTAATAAATACTCCTTCGTTTCCTTTGCACTGCTAATGTTTCAGCCATTTAAAGAAACCGGGGCTTTTCATGTGAAAGAAGATTATTTAACCACTTCTGTTATCATGGCAACAACCTTGTTGACTTCTACTAACTTGGTTTTTGTTCATTTGTTTATTTTCTAATTTCTTCTAACTCTTGTATCTCTTCAGGTCACTTCTTACATAATTCCATATTTTCCTTCGTTTCTATATGCATCCAGATTACAAGTCATTCGTTAGATTATTCGTCTAATTACGTAACTCTAATGCATTTATTGAACTCCTTTTATGCACTGACCAATAGTAACTGACAGATATGATTACGCCAATTCATCAGCTTTGTTGCTACCCTCTTCCATGAAAAGTAGTTGTATATAAGTGTATCTACCAGTTTGAATGCAGCTGCGGAGCCAGCTACATTAGGCGTACAATTAGGCAGGTTCATCATCGTATTTCCGAACATCATCCAGCATGGTTAAGCAAAGGACAAACAAGATATATTCGTTGTTCTATTTTAGCACACCTTGTTGATACGGAACATAAGGTTGATGTGAATACTGCATTTAAAATTATTTATCGCATTCCGACTAATCTTAACTTTGCTCTACGAGTTCGTCTTATGCAGACAGCTGAAGCAATCGGAATCCACCTGAAGAAGCCAAACCAGTGTGTTCAGAAGAAATTTTTACAGCCACTTTCCTTACCCTGGCCATCGTTACAAGAATGCATAAAGAGGACTACGTCACCCCCCTCCCCCTAAACCTTTAGAAACTATAAAAATTATAATTGTCCAAATTATTTTATTTTTATTTATTTTGACCACTTCATCTTTAATTACGTGTTATCCTTGTAAAATTAATTTATTCTATCCATTTCTGCACCGACCCTTAGATTAGAAATAAGAAGTGAAGTGGTAGAGCACGTTGACCGCTTCACTTACTTGGGAAGTACCATCAGCCCCAACGGGTTGATCTCTGACGAAATCTCAGCACGGATACAGAGGGCTAGTTTCGCATACACCAGTTTACGCCGTCTCTGGTGTAGACTTGATATCCGGCTATCGACCAAAAGGCGTGTGTACTGCTCATCAGTCCGATCCGTCCTCCTCTATGCCTAGCTGTGAAACCTGGCCATCGAGAGTGGAAAACATTAAAAGATTAACTGTCTTCTATCATAAGTGCCCGCGTTCTATCTCCCGTGTGAAGTGGTATAATAAGGTGAGCAATATTGAGATTAGGCGTTGTTCGAGTGCTAGGTAAGGAGGGGAAATCAATCGACGAGGCTGTAAAATTACATCGACTGAGATGGTTAGGACATATGTTACGTATGCCTAGTCATCGCCTTCCTCGACAACGGGCAATGTTAGCTGATATAGGATCAGGTTTGAAAGGAGTTATCGGTAGTCAAACCAAAACATGGCACCAGTCAATGAAATCTACAACAGTAAGTCTAAGCCACGTAGGAAGGTGTAGACTTCCTTGTTGGAGTCCTCGGGACGGTATAAACCGACAAACGCTGGAAACAAATGGTGACATGGCTCAAAATCATTCCCAATGGCTGTTGCAGATGCATCCACTCCTTGTGACTTATGATTTTCAATTAAACTGTTTTGTTCTTCGTTATTACTATACCTTCGTCTAACACCTCTGTTTACTGTCTCTATTATGCATTTCTCCTACTTTCTCCTCTTGCTTTGTGTGCTACATGGAGGGAGTGTGGCGACTTGAACTGCCGCACTTATGTGCAAAGTTCTATGTCGAAAACAGACAGACAGACAGACTATCCATTTCTACCCTTTAAATGTGTATTGATCTTCTTCGTTAATTATCAACCCATTGACATTTTGACACTCTTTAATTATTGTTAACAAACATATCAGTGCCAGGTGACTGATAAACTGTTGTGTATTGTAATAAAAATGCTATACATAAATATATTACAGTAGAGCCAGAGATGAGGATCTAATTGAAAAGTAAATATTTCTTCGCTCAATCTTTCTGTTTTCAAAATGTCTAAATGAGGATTTTTTTCCGTATATAAATATGACTGTGGCTAAAGAGGAGAATAAATAAATAAAATAGCTGTGTGTTTTGTTTTCATTAAGACCTAAATATCCGGAAAAATTATCATATATTTGAATATACACTGTTGATAGCTGAGGTGAAAGAATGAAGTGGTTAGCAAGTGCAGCTCTGGGTTAGTTATCCGTAGGCTGTGTGTTGAAATCCTCCTGCAAACCAAATTTTCTTTTATTCCTTTTTTTGTTAATTCTCTCCTGTTGTGCACAGACAAATGATTTAACCGCCATGCATTTCTGTTTTGTTTTTTTAATTCAAATAGACTGAGGACGATGCAGTGAGATGTATTCAGAAAAATGCAAAGGTTATGTTTGATCCCTGGTTCCGTTTAATGCTCGCCTTGAGACCGTTAATTCGTACACATCGAGCAGAAGAGGAATTACTCTTCCTTAGGGTAAGTCAGTTTATTCTTGTAAATTGAACCTGATTTTATCGACTACCTGAACTCAATTTTAACCAATGGGATTAATAAAAAAACTTGAATTTACTGAATTTTCGGGTCTATTAACGATGAACTCTGCACACCACAGGATTGAATCAGTAAGAGTGACAGATAGTATATACCATTAAATGAATTCAATTAGAGTATGCGTCGTCTGAATTTCTTCGAATTAACAATTTAGCACAACTGTCAGCCAATAGCATCTGTGAGGAATTGTCCTTTTGCCTGACTCGGTGTACCCCGCTGGTTACGACTTCTCACTGTAGCCCCCAGTTAACTTCATGTAGAGGGCTAGTCTCTAGTGAGCATCACATGAATTGTCAACTCTTGGCTTCCACAGATTTGACTGGTTACTAGCTGACATCAGTTAGAGAACCACTGGGAGAAGGTAGAATTCATGGTCCCAGCGGTTCAATCATATATGAGCTCATCTCACAACTCGAAGTTCCTGGGTTCAAACCCCGGCTGACGGGCGCCTACTGCTAAGGAGTCCCAAGCACTATAACGAAACAGTTGCCTAGTACTCCCTGCTGGTTTTTCAGTGGTTCTGTCACTGATGTCACTTCATTATCCGTCCTGTGACCAATCGAATCCCTGGAAGCATATATATATTTAATTCCCTTTGGCTCCGAATGGAACAAAGGCCTCCTACATAACATCTCTATTTCATCCTGTTCTGCTCAGCTCTGTTTACCTGGTTCCATGATTGGCCATATATTTTAGTGTCCTTCTAAAACGATCTCTTCCATGTAATTCTTTGGCACATAACCGATTCGCTGTTTCTTATTTGGATTTCATTCAATGGCCTTAGTCGTACATGATGTCACTCAACTATCATCTCAGAGTGAGTTCAGTCACTCTACATTTCTTAATTCGTATATGTTGGACAAAAGATTCTTGGTTGGATCGTTCATCTAGTTCCTGTTGCTAATCCCTTCTGGCCTGCCATCTGATCTTCAGTATGGAGACAGAGAAGGCTGCTGTCCATAAAAATCTGTTGCAACCTGTTGAAAATGCCTTTCCTGATGCGCCCAGTTTCTGAGTCATATGGAAGCATTTACTGACTTCACATTGGTGATGAGAATCCGAATGTTGCTTTTTATGCTGAATGCAGAAGATTTCAGCAATGATTTCAGATAAACAGATGTCTTCGTTGCCTTTCTGGTCGTGGTTTTGACATCCTTATCCATGCTGCTCTTAGTTGAAACAATGGTTTCTACATAAGTGAAAAAAAATGAATTCTTTCAAACTCCTCCCGTTGTTAGTTATTGGTGCTGGTTGTTATTGCTGTTGGCGGTGGTTAGCTATCTTCACCACATCCATCTTCTCTATGTTCACCGATAGTCTTGTCTTCGCTGCCTGCTTCGCCTATAAGTCTTTGAGTTTGTGTGACATTAGACACATATTATCCCCGTGCAAAATTCAGATCTTCTACAGTCTTCTCATCGGTTGCCCAGCGTATTCCTGTCTCCCTACTCCTCACAGTCTGACGCACAATCCAGTCGAACACAATTAAGAATATCATCGGTGATAATAGACAGCCCTGCCTTACTCCTGTATTCACTTCGAAAGCCTCACTGAATTTTTCATTGTGGATCACCTGACACGTGCCGCTGTTATATAGTCAGTTGTTGAATAAGGTTGATAAAGAATTGAGGTACGCCGCAGTGTTCAAGTAGTTTCCAAATTACTTCTCGGTCAACCCTATCGAAGGCTATTTAAAATTCAATGAAATTCAGGTAGAGATTGGACTGCCATTCCATGTTTTGTCCGATGATGATGCGTAGAGCTGCAATTTGATTAGAACATGATTCGCCTTTCCTGAATTCAGTTTGTTCTGGTCGTTGGGACAGAGTTCTGCATCCAGTTCATCTTTTATTCTCTCCAGGATGACGCGACTTAATATTTTTTCCACTTGGCGTGGACAAGAGCACTATTCCACGCCAGACCCTGCAGAGGCTAAGTCGCCCTTCTTTGGTAGCTTGACAAATATATGTAATGCTAATCATACTGTATAATATCTTTCAATTTATTCTCTTTTCACTGCTTACTTAACGCTTACAGAGTGAGATCGAAAGGTATAAAGCTTTGGTTCGTATGCTACGATTTGAAAATGCTGAATATCAAGCAAGAGTGGCTAATTTACTTCACTTGGTAAGTCAAATTATCACCAGAATATTTATATTTGATTGAATTAAATGACAGTGTCTTCGTTCAAGAGTTACCGGTTTCCAACCTGCAAACCTTAATCACGATGAACGTTACTCTATCTCTCTCCCACTCGTTCTCTCTTCAAGGTCTTCTCTGACTCCTTCTAGCCAACAAAACTGATTTATTTACGAAAACCTTTCGTGATAAATCAGCATTGTGAAATGCATTAATCGAATCCTACTTCATGGGAGAAACAGGCATAAAATGGACTCACACAAAAAACCAACTTGGAGGATCTGGACTTCGCCGATGATATATGTCTGATTTCCCACAAACTATAAGATATGCAAGTGAAAAGAAACAAGTTGGCAGAAGAAGCATCAAGGTAAACATAGAGAAAACAGAGGTGATGAAGATTTCTGACCAACAGAAACAGCAATAGCAACAGCAGCAACAACAACTGACAACAATCAGCCAGCATAAATGGAAGGAACCTGAAAGAAACAACCTCCTCTACCTACCTGCATGGGAAGCATTGTTTCAACTGCAGGCGGACTCGACTGACGAGGATATCAAAGCAAGAATCGGAAATGCAAGACAGGCTTTCACTACTCTCAAGTGTCTGTGTGGAGGTCAACAGCATTCATCAGCGTCAAAAATAAGATCCGGATTTCCAATGTGAATTCTGTGCTACTATACGGATCACAGACTTGGCGGGCAATGAAAAGCACTTCAAACAAATTACAGACTGTCATGAATAGCTGTCTTCGCTCATTACTCAAAATCAGAAGGCCGGCCAGAACAGATCAGAAACAGGGATCTCTGGGAGTAAAACAAACAGGAACCGATTGTGCAAAAGATATGTAGGAAGAAATGGAGATGGATTGGCCATACTCTGAAGAATCCATCAAGTGACATCACTAGACAAGCCATTGCTCGAGTTGAACCCGAAAGGGAAGCGGGGAGGTGGTCGTCAGTGCAAGGGTGACTTGGAGGTGGTCATGTGAAGAGGAGATGAAAGCGTGTGGGCAGACTTGGAGCCAGGTGAAGACTTTAGCAGAAAACCGAACGCAATGGAGACGTGCAGCTGAAGCCTTATACGCCTCTAGGAATTAAAGGAAATAATAGTAATACTTCATAGAAAGGAATGAGTTATCCATTGTGCTGAATACTTAAGTCTCTTTTCTATCTACTATATAAATAACTCCTACAGCAGGCCCTAAATTAGCTTCTCATGCACAGAAAACATTCTTTAATTCCTGTGAATTATCGTCAAGGTGTGCTGAAAAATATCGACAGTTAACTATTTATGTTACTGTAGGATACGTTAAAACTTGCATCCAAGAGAATGAGGCTAAAAATTTGTACCAAAATGCAAAGCAAAGAAAGGGTTGAAAATGTGAAGTAAATTGGTCCTTGGTAATCCAATTTAGAACCAACGACCAATTTACTTCACATTTTCAAACCCTTCTTTGCCTTGTTTTCTCCTTTTATCTTTCTTACCCACACCTTTGCGTCTCCCTACCCATTATTTGTGAACTTGACCTGTGGACAATCTGACCTGTATTGTAATTATTCATGCCTTCTTGCATTATATAAAAACTGAGTATGACAAGTACGTGTGTGATCAGAATGTCCGAAATGTGTTGCGCCAATACATTACACGTTTCAGGTAAACTACGTCTTCTTATTGTGTTGTCGAAATTCATAAAGGGAACTAATTGCTTTAAAAGTCAAAATGGGCATGCAGCAGCGAACACGAATAGCTCATTGGAAACGTCTTCGACTTTAGCAATAGGTGACATTTGTTCGAACTTCACAAGGAACATGAGTTCCTTCAAGATTGTAGACACTGCTTATTGGTGAGTGCCATCAAACACGAAACCATGGTCGAAGGCCTCCAACCTCGCAATAATAACAATTCGGAGATGATAAACTACCCAAAGTTCAAAAGATATAGTCTTTTAGGGATCTGTTGACAAAAAATTGGATTTTCGATAGGAACTATCACCAAAATTAGAACCCACAAATACTCTAAACGTTTTGTGTTTAACTATCTGTCTAGCTGTCATTTCCTAGAGCTCTGTCTCAATAGATTTTCTCATGAGTTCATAAGTTGAAACTTGTTAGATTCCCTCTGTCATTAACTATTCATTAACTATTCCACAGTTATTTTCTTTTTTTTAGTCCTTCACGTTCCCCAGTGGAACATAGGGCTTCAAGCTGGTTGGCTTGAAGTTTCTGTAGCAGTGTTTATTTTTACAGGATGGGGTTGCTAGACCCTGATGCCCAACTCTTCCTCTTCACCAGCATTATTTCTGGCTTAGCGAGGTAAAGGAGTGCGTCGGTGGCCGACCATGTGGATGGTCGGTGAGAGCCCTAACCGCTATGCCACCAACCGACTGTTTTTTCTTACTTGCCGACTATTTCTCTCAATCCCTCTCAGTGTTTCCAGTAACTGATAATGTATTATAACCTTCTATGCTTTTTATTGTATTAAACTTTATATTATATTATTTTTGATATTATTGTAGTTAGAACAAATGAGCACGAATTCCTCGAACACGTCGAATGTTCAAAGTTTAGTTCAACAAGTAAGTTATCCATTGAACAATTTCCTCTTTTTTTTTCTTTTACCTTATGATTTCAACATGCTTACCATTTTACCTATTATACATATCAAGTACAATTAAGCTATTTAGAATGTCAAAAAAACTACATCGTGACGGTATTGTTGTAATTTAGGAATCTGATAAACTTCTGTCTGTTTTCGACATGGAACTTTGCACCAGTGTGCAGCACTTCAATTCGCCACACTCCCTCCATGTATCACACAAAGCAGGAGAAGAAAGTAGAAGAAATGCATAATATATACAGTAAACAGAGTTGTGAGACAGAGGAATCGTAATAACGAAGAACAAAACAGTTTCATTGGAAATCATAAGTCACAAGAAGTGGATGCATCTGTGCCATCCATTGAGAACGATTTTGAGCCATGTCGCCAATTGTTTCCAACCATTGGTGTTTACCATCTCGAGGACCCCAACCAGTCTGGAAGTCTACACCTTCCTACGTGGCTGGCTTAAACTAACTGTTATGGATTTCATCGACTGGTGTAGCCATGTTTTGGTTTGACCGCCGCTAGCTCTTTTCCAGCCTGACACTGTATCAGCTAACATTGCCCATCGGTCGAGGAAGGCGATGACTAGGCATACGTAACACATGTCCTAACCATCTCAGTTAATGTAATTTCACAGTCTCGTCGATTGATTTCCCCCCATTACCTAGCACTCGACGCCTAACCTCAATATTGCTCACCTCATTATACCACTTCACACGGGAGATAGAACGCAGACACCTATGATCGAAGACAGCTAATCTTTTCATGTCTTCCGCTCTCAATGGCCACGTCTCACAGCCATAAAGGAGGACGGAATGGACTGTTGAGCAGTACACACGCCCTTTGGTCGATAGGCGGATATCACGCCTACGCCAGAGACGGCGTAAACTGGCATATGCGAAACGAGCCTTGTGTATCCGTGCTGAGATTTCGTCGGAGATCAACCCAATAGGGCTGATGGTACTTCCCAAGTAAGTAAAGCGGTCAACGTGCTCTACCACTTCACTTCATATTTCTAATCTAGGAGTCAGTGTAGTCCAATCCTGCAGCATCATCTTACATTTTACAGGGGCGAATCGCATGCCAAACATACGTAGATTACAGCTCAAGGTGTTCAGATGACTCTGTATTTTGTCAGCGTTCTCGCCTACAAGGACTATATCGTCCGCATATTCTAAGTCAACGAGATTATTCCCTGGTAGCAAGTCAATTCCTGAGTCTCTGAATTGAGTTAGGGTTAAGTCCATTAGTACGTCTATGATGAAACTGAATAGGAATGGGGATAATGGGCATCCTTGACAGACGCCACTAGTCGTCACCACCTCAGATGACAACTCGCCATAAGCCCTCACTTGGCTGCATGAGTATGAGTAGAGTGCCTTAATCAGTGCAGTGTATTTTCTCGGCATTCCCTTTACAGCCACGTACCACCAGAGTACCTCTCGGTCGACAGAATCGAATGCCGCCTTTAGGTCAAGAAATATAATGATTGTTGGACGCCGACGGTAAGAATGCCTATGTTCTAGAATCCGTCGGAGGGTGAAGATATGATCAATACACCCTCTTCCTGGCCTTAAGCCTGAATGGTTTTCTCGTGTTTGTGCCTCCCTAAACTTCTATTGACAACTAGCCTCAAAAGCCGTTGGATAGAATCTTCATATAACACAGTAATCGATACGAAATCATCTGAAGTGATACTGTTCCATCCGAAGTATGCTTCAATGATACCCCACAATTATTCAATTCAATTTTAGATTTTCCCGTCGATTGATTTAACCGAAGCGCACGGTCTCAGGTTGACATGTTGGCTCCTTGTGCAGAAGGTGCTTTGACTATGTCTTGTCATGTAACCCGACGTCGATTGGTAGATGGTGACTAGAAGTGCACATCCTGGATTCCACTACTAGTCATCACCCACGAACCGACTTCGAGTTACATGCCCAGACATCGTCAAAGCATCTGCACATGGAGCTGACATACCAGCCTGAGACCAAACACTTCAGTCTATTCAATCGACGGGAAAATCTAAAATTGAATTAAATAATAATTATGACCCGTGGCAAAAGAGGTGACTCTCGTGGCCCAAGTGGTCTAGGGGGATAACGGTTTGGCGTTTGAAACTATGGGCACTGGGTTCGAGCCTTGAGGCGAATATGCATTTATATTTACCAAAAATATATAGTGGTCTATTATTGAGTAATAGGGGAAGGTGAAATAATTGATATAATCACTCAGAAGTCGCTTTAGAAGTAAAAAATAAAAGTTGTAAATTACGTGGTACTCAACGGCACAAACTTAGAAATTTGATAAGGTTAAAACTGTAATTGAGTGACAATAAAGGTAGTTGAGTGTCAATTTTACAAGTGTGAAGAGGGTGTGAAAATGTACGAAAGGAGCATATGAGAGTGATAATAGTGAATTAATTATTAAAGCCAAAGCAAATTAAAGGTAAAATTTAAAATTTACAGGGAACGACTAGTGAAGAGGTTAAGATCAAGGTAGAAAAAGACTCGAAAAACGTTTTCTCTATACAGAGTTCGGGCTTGTGACCTTACGCAACAAAAAAACTGACATGGAAGTTAGAATTAAAAAGATCGCAACAAGTGTGAATGTGAGGTCTTTGTATCCATCTAAGCCCCTAAAACATACGAAAAATTGATGTCACATCCCACTGTATCTACAAATTCAAGTGTACGTGTGGCCGAACATCACTTGCGGAGGGGTCATAAATCTTTGCAAGTAAGGGCTTCAGTTGCAGATACAATTCCCTGGACCCATTAATGGTGAAAACAAGCGTCCTTGTTCTTTTAGTGCGAAACATATTATAGAGAAAGCAAATAAAATTGATGTTTACATGTCTTTCAAACCTATCTATAAAACACGTTTTGGGCGTATCATAAAGCTTGTGTAAGTCCTATGAAAGACTCATTTCATTTCTCTGAAAGTGTGAACCACATGAACGTTTTAAACAAGTTCATGGTGTCATTTGATGTAACCTCCCTATTCACAATGATTCCAATCAACGAAACTATTGAGATCATTTGTCGGTAGTCTGATATTCTCCCACTCTCAGAGTCAGAATTCAAACGCCCACTGCTAATGTGTACGATGGATGTGCAATTCCAATTTGACAACACTCTTTACCGACAAATAGATGATGTAGCTATGGGCAGTCCACTTAGCCGTGTTTTAGCAGATATATTCATGTCCAACCTTGAAAGAACAAAGTTGAAGCATGCAATCGACGAAACAAATTCCTACTGTCGATATGTTGATGACACATTCATAGTGTGCAAAAATGAAAGTCATGCTTCAAACTTACTCGAATTATTCAATGATGTACACGCCAATATTGAGTTCACTATGGAACATGAAAGTGACGGAAAGTTCCACTTCCTCGACATCGCCATGGAACGCCTAGAAGACGGTAGTCTTCAGAAGTCAATTTATCGAAAGCCTAATTGGAAAGGACAATACTTACATTTTATTAGCTTTTGTCCAAATAGCTTTAAACGTGGTCTAGTCAAGACTGTGTACTACAGAGCGAAGAGAAAATGATCTATGGAGAAATTAGAGGGAGAATTTGAGTTTCTTGAAAAAATGTTGAAGTGCAGTGGGTACCCTCAAAGGTTCATCAACAAGTAGGGAAGATATGAAGTCACAAATGTAAAACAAATCACAGTTGGAACAAAGCCAATCTACTTTCAGCTTGATTATAAAGGTGAAAACATTTCAGCGATGATCAGCAGAAGGCTGAGCACATCACTAGCCATAGCCTATCCTGCAGCTAAGCTCGTTCCCGTCTATCGAACAACTTGCTCTTTGATGCAATCAAAAATCAATAGATATCCTTCTCATGTTAACTCCAACTGTATATATAAGTCCTGGCAATTAGGAAGGTTATGTATCAAAAAAATAATTCGTCATCACATTAAACCCTCTTTGGGACACTTTGTTTTTGAAACCAGCGCAGATGTACCACTGTCTCTCTTCTTTGGTTTATTGATCCCCACTGCTATTTTGACCATCAATATAGCCACTTAATGTGACCAATGTATATTCTCTCATCCCTTAAAGCTTTATTAGTTTCATATATATATATATATATATATAATGAAGATTCCTGGGCAACACCACCACCAGCAACAACAACAACAGAAAACAATCAGCATAAATGGAAGGAACCTGAAAGAAACAGCCTCCTTTACCTACCTGCCTGGGAAGCATCATTTCAACTACAGGCGGAAATGACGAGGATATCAAAGCAAGGATCAGGAAAGCAAGACATGCTTTCATTTCTCTCAAGTCTGTGTGGAGGTCAACAGCACTCAGCATCAAAAATAAGATCCGGATTTTCAACTCCAATGTGAAGTCAGTGATACTTACTATACGAATCAGAGACTTGGCGCGTCATAAAGAGCTTCTCAAACAAACTACAGACCTTCATCAACAGCTGCCTTCGCTCAGTACTCAAGATCAGAAGGCCGACCAGAAAAGATCAGCAACAGGGATCTCTGGGAGCGAACCAACCAGGAACCAATTGTGAAACAAATAGGCAGGAAGAAATGGAAGTGGATTGGCCATACTTTGAGGAAAAATACCATCAAGTGACATCACTAGACAAGCCATTGCTCGAGTGGAACCCGAAAGGTAAGCTGCAAGTTTGTCGTCCAAGGAGGTCATGTGAGGAGGAGATGAAAACGTGTGGGCAGACTTAGAGCCAGGTGAAGACTCTAGCAGAGAACCGAACGCAATGGAGACGCACGGATGAAGCCCTATGTTCCTCTAGGAATTAAAGGTTAAATAATAATAATAACAAATATGGCAAGTCTATGTGTGATCAGATTGTTCATTATCTCCCTGAATATATTTCACCTTCTTTTCATGATTCCTATTTTATTCTAGATATCTGAGGCACTGAGTAAAAATCAAGAGTTTTGGCAGTCATTAGCGGCAGACAATAAAGCGCTGAATGCTTTGGCTCCACAGAAATCCGGTAGTGGTCTTCTTGAAGTAGAACAAGCTCCACCTAGTGTTGGTAAGTTGGCAAGATTTTGAAACAGCACTGTGTGTAATGCACGTTTGGTTTCCAAGACAACATGTTTTGAAACTGTCATATGTATGACGATATTACTGATCTACGCATACAATACTATCGTAAATAGTGAAATAAGGTTTGTCGCTGTCCGAAACCCAACAGTTGGATTTTTTGAATGCTAAGCTGCCCAAATGTCTTGGTGCAGCAAATGCACAACATGTGAGCAAATTGCCTCAGTCAGTTTGTTCGACATTCTATGTTTGTGAAATTGAACCAAAAATAATTAGACACAGTATTTTTATATAGTTGGATTGTAAGGATTAGTTTTGTTTTTACGAGTTGATATCAGTTAGAGAACCATTGAAAACCAGCACTGCAGTACTGGACAGCTGTTTCATCCTTGTAACCAGAAGGTCCTCGGCTTGAACCCCTGTGGTAAGTGCATACTTCTGATGATTCCGGAATTTGGTCTTCAGCATAGAAAAGGTTTCTTTTTACTGTCTCTGGTGTTTTGAAGAGGACTTTGATGTTGTGTATTGATTGAATACCAGTTTGATGTTGTTTTTGCCTTTCTGATTTATAGGCAATGACAACTAACAAATGCTAACTTGCCTTGGACATATATAAAATATTCACTTAGACATCTATAAAACACAAAATAATTGAGCAAAGAATATCCTTTTCGATAAATTCCCCTTCCAGGCTCTGCAATTATATGTGCATGTTTATATACATAGAATATTCTAGATTAGTAGTCAATAACAATATTAATGTTTTTTCAATAATAATATCGATTTGTAAAGTAAGATGACAATGGAATCACCACAGTTCATTAAAGATGCTTAAATTACAATAATAATAACAAATATATAGTAGCAAATAGAATATCAACTGAAATTAAGGAAATTTCCACAACAAATTGAGGACCATGCGAACTTAGGTGGCCAAGGTAAGGATAATGTCTGAACTAACTTCTTTTGGATACACAAATTAGGCTTGTTAATATGGATCCCAACAGCCAGCCTCAGCAATATGTAGTAGACGAACTCTTAAGGCGAAATTGAGATTCGTTGGTGGGTATGCGGTAAATGACTTTGAAAGCTGCCAGTTAACATCAATCTTGTGTTCTGTATCCACAGGATGAGATAGAATAGTGCTGCGAGTAGATTTTGTTTGTCCTTTGCTTAACTACTATGTAGGGTGATGTTCGGAAATTCGACGAGAAACATTGCCTATGTAACTGGCTCCACAGGAGCAGTTAAATTGGTAGATACACATGGAAGAGGCAAAATTAGGCAGTTTGTCTTTTATTCCCGAACGCAAAATAGTTGGAGGTTTTGAAGACACAGCGTAATTCGGCAGCAGGGAATGCTCTTTTTACCGCATTTCTAAGGTGTTGTGTTAGTATCTCAATGGTGTTGTCTCCTAGGAACTGCATGTGTAAGAACAAGGCCTTTTTTGGAACTGTTGTTTACTTGGACTGCTTTGGTTTCAGATTCAGATTCTTACCGATAAACTTTTCAGGATAACCGTTCTCACTTAGCGACCGTTTAATATTGTTAAGTTACTCGTCAAGACATTCATCCGAGCAAATCTCTCTTGCTCTGTGGACCAAGCACTTTATCAGATTGCGTTTGTATTTCAAGGGAACAAAGCTGAGAAAATGTGTGTACTGGCTCGTTGATGTAGGTTTTCTATAGACACTTCTTCTTATTGTGCCGTCCTCTTTTCTGGTCATAAGGGCGTCTAAAAATGAAATACTAGAGTCTTTTTCTTTCTCAATAGTAAAATTTATTGCAGGATGTACCTCATTAAATTTATCTAGGATGTTCCTTGCTTCCTTTTCGTTATTCATAATCAAAAAGGTATCATCCATGTACGGACAATAAAATTCCAGTGCATTAATAACATCCTTCAAAGGCCCATTTCCTAGTTTCGCAAGGAAAATATGGGCTAGAATGGGTCTTAGTGGTGACCCCATTGCCACACCGTCGATTTGTCTTTATAGTTCCTTATTAAATTAAAAGTGGAAATTCATTGTACATTTCAAGAGAAGCTCTTTCATAAAAGATATAGGAATGCCAACATCGATGTTTCGTCTTTTGAGTTCTTCGCATACAAAGTCCATTGTTTCCATGAGAGGTACATTGGTGAATAAGGAAGATCCATCAAATGAAATCACGAATTTATTATCAACATTTAAATCTCTTATCCTTTCAAGAAATCCAAATGTATCCTTTACACTATGTTTCATCAACTCAGTATAAAGAGGCTGTAAGAGTGTGACTAACCATTTGGCCACAGGATAGTATGGTGAATTTAGCATATCTAATACTGGTCGCAACAGTACACCTTTTTTATGCACTTTAGGCGAGCCATATAGTCTTGGTGTGAACGTTCCGGTAGGTTTGATTGATGTGTACTGACTCTGTGAGATGAAGCCTTGTTGTTTCAGTCTCCTTCCAAATAAAACTACAAACATGGCGTCCAGGAGAAATTATCACAGTTTTTTGCTGCGTCATAGTTCCATCTTACAAATTTTTTTAAATGAATCACTTTAATTTGAAGTTTTCTAAATTTTCTTCTTTTTTGATAAAAGGATCACCAATGACTAAATTGAAACATGACGCTGAATTCTATCGAGATCAAGTTGAACTACTACGTGAAGAAGCCGACGAACAACAACTACGCTCAGCTGAGCATTACAGAAACCAAGTAAGCGGATTTTTTCATTGATGTTTCCTTGGGTTCCGTGTGGAACATGAGACCTCAACACCTCATCTACATTTTGCCATGTACTCTGAGGTCTTCTTCAGTTGGCTCCGTAATTGCTGACAGGCTTTTATTACGGACCTACTCACATGATCTCCTCCTTGTCACCCTCAGACACAGGACCAACTCGTCATTACCCATTCGGGTTCCACTCGAGGTCCCGCCTAGTGAGCGATGTCACTCAACTATCTCTTAAGTGTGTGTCCGATCCTTCTCCATTTACATTTGTTGAGCAGTAGTTTCCTGATTGCTTTGTTACCAGAGTTACTAATTCTTTCTAGCCTGTCATCTAACCTTCAGTATGCAGCAAAGGCCTTCCCGGATTTCAGTAGCTTGATCACATTCAAGAACTCTGCTTTTGTTGGAGGATTGGTGTCCACTGTCAGTTCTGTATCTGCTGTTTGTGGTATTTCTGGACGAGTTGCAGTGATGGTCGATTCAAGAGTCTTTTGAAGTGATCAGCCTATTGTTTTCTTTGATCCTCCTCTTTGGTGGTTAGGCTCCTTTAACCGTCTTTCATTGGTTGCTTCTGTGTTGATCTCTTCCCCAATAAAGAATTAGTTATCTGATATGATGTTCTAAGGTCTCTTCTGCCCTTGACCTGTTCTGCCTCAGTTTCCAGTGTGTTGTAGAACTGTCTTTTCGTCTTTCTTCACACATTTCTTTACTTCTTTATCCACTGTGATGTACAGTGAACTTGGTTCCTCCTTCTGTTATTCATCTTTGTATGAGTTCATCTTTTTTTCATCATCCCACATGTCCGTAGAAAGCTTATCCTTGTCTTACCTCTTCTTCCAGCCTACAACGGCTGTATACGCCAACTATTCAGCACTTATAATTATTATTGTTTCCTTTAGTTCCTTGAGGATCATAGGGCTTCAGCCGCACGTCTCCATTGCGTTCGATTCTCCACCAACGTTTTCACCTGGCTACACGTATGCCCACATTCTTTCATCTCCTATTACCATCACCTCCTCCTCCATGTCACCCCTACACTAATGACCAACTCGCCACTTCCCATTCAGCTCCCACTTGGGAGAGAGAGCCTGGCATGTGATGTCACTCACCTGATGGTTTGTTTTCTCAGAGTATGGCCAGGCCAATCCACCTCCATTTCTTCCTGAATATTTCTTGTACAATCGGTTCCTGCTGAGTTGGTTTGCTCCCAGAGATCTCTATTGCTGATCTTTTCTGGCCGGCCATCTGACCTTGAGCGAAGCATTGGGCGAAGGCAGCTGTTGATGAAGGTCTGTAGTTTGCTTGAAGTACTCTTTAAGACGCGCCAAGTCTCTGATCCATAGAGTAGCACTGACTTCACATCGGAGTTGAAAATCCGGACCTTATTTTTGATGCTGAGGAAGGCTGTTGTTCTCCACACAGACTTGAGAGTAGTGAAAGCTTGTCTTGCTTTTCCGATTATTGCTTTGACATCCTCGTCAGTTCCGCCTGTAGTTGAAACGATGCTTCCCAGGTGGGTAGGTAAAAGAGGTTGTTTCTTTCAGGTTCCTTACATTTATATTGATTGTTGTTGCTGTTGGTGGTGTTGCCCAGGAATTTTCACCACCTCTGTTTTCTCTATGTTCACCTGAAGTCCTATCTTTGATGCTTCTTCTGCCAACTTGTTGCTTTTCGCTTGCATATCTTCCAGTTTGTGGGGAATCAGACATATATCATCGGCGAAGTCCAGATCCTCCAAGTTTTTTGTCAGGGTCCATTTTATGCCTGTTTCCTCATTGCCCGCTGTTTGTCGCATTATCCAATCTACTGCAATCAAGAAAATCATTGGAGATAGTAGGCAGCCAACCAGCCTTGTCTTACTCCTGTCCTCACTTCGAAGGATTCCTTGAGTTTCCCGTTGTGGATTACCACTTTATGTGGTTTTAATATTCTCCATTCTTGAAACAACTACCGTCCTTTCCGAGACTCGTACCCTGGTTGCCCAATTTTGTAGTCACAGACGTTACCACCGAGCTATTCGGGTTGGCGATTGACTTCCTGTAGGACTAACTGTATTAGAAACACTTTGATTAGACATTAGTTAACTAGCGTCACGTGTCTAACCCTTTGTTTGCTGCAGGCTGAATTCTATCAGTCAAGTTTGAATCTTAGAAGGCACATGACTTCCTTCATGGTTGCAGATATGCCTTGCTGACTGTGAGTGCTAACTAACATCCATGGAAACCTAGGTCCAAGGCTTCTTTTCAATTGCCTGCAACCATCTAATATCAACGTTCTCCTAAATCAGCAGTTTCTTTAAAGTTGTTTATTGAAGGCTTCTCTTTTCATAATCAATCATCTAATCTAATTATTATAATATGAATGACTCATTATGTTTTTTTTCGTATAGGTTCATGTTCTCAGTGAACGCGTTGAACAATTACAGCATGTTTTAGCTTTGGAATCCAGTAAAGTAGAACGATTGAGCTCTGAACTGGAAGAGAAAAACTCTAATGAATCTGAAGCCAAGGCATATGTACGCAATCTTGAAGTTATGGTGAATCAGTTGAGTAAACAGCTAGAACAAAAGAGTAAGCTGATGTCACATGCAAGTGTTAATGATGTCAATGAAGCTGTTGAAAACGAGGCAAAAGATTCAAAAACACAAGTAAGTCCAGCTTACTTTTTAAACAAGGGGAGTTTTTTTGTTCCCTTACATTCCCAGTGGTGGAACATAGGGGACTTCAAGCCTCTTGGGCTTTGAAGTTCCCGTAGCTGTGGTGTTTTTTTCTATTTTTACGGAATGAGGTTGCTAGCCAGCCTCATGCCCAACCTTACCTCTATTTACCAGTCTTATTACTGCCTTAGCAAGGTAAAGGAATGCGTCGGTGGCTGGGGCTCGAACCCCGAACCATATGAGGCGTGGTTGACAAGCACTCTACTGCTGTGCCACCTACTCACTATAAGAAATCCACTCTTTCTAAATGCTATTATGCAAGTAGGGTTTTTCAAGCTGATTATATAAATTTCAGGACAATATTTAAGCAAGCAGATATGTATTTTACGTAAATTCTCATTAGGTTTTACAAATACATGATAAAATTTATGTGTAAAACTTGGGCACTGGAGTAGTAAGTAATTCCATATTAGTTTGTTTATTAGATGTATCACACAGTGAACACACGACTCGAAGGTAGAGGCAATTCAATTCACTTATGAATTGGAAAGTCAGGAAGGGGAGCTTCCAATGTTAGATTGCAGCGTAAAAAGGAAAGAAGATGGGAAGTTAAACACTAGTGTGTGTTTACAGGAAACCCACACATTCAAACAGATATTTGGACTTCCGATCATCCCATCCTATGTCAGTAAAAATAGGATTGGTGAAATGTTTAAGTAATAGAGCACAAAAACTAAGTTGCACCAAGGAAAATCTAAGACAAGAAGTGAGGCATATAAGAGAAGCTTTGAAACTTAATAATTACCCTGATAAATTAGTCAGAAAGTATGTAGGGAAATGTAAAAATAAAATAAATAATGATAGTAGTGATAGTGATAATAATAATAATATTAATGACGACATGCATGTCAAACATGCGCAAGACAACACCAACAATAAGGAATCTAAATCATCAGTAGTAATTCCATACAAGGAAGGAACCTCGGAAACCTTACTCAGAATTCTTAACAAGGTAGGAATAAAAGTGGCTGGCATTCAAACCAACCACAAACTCAATTAGAAACAAGCTTTGTCGGTTAAAGGATCCTGCATGTGGAGCCTTTAAAACAAAACAATTTAGTTTATCTAATACCCTGCTGCAATGATTGTCAGGTCAAATACATAGGTCAAAGTAGTAGAACAGGGGCAGTCAGACTAGCCGAACATAAAAACCTAGCAAAATCTAGATTAGTTGACCCAAATAAGATAAGAAATCTGGAGAATAGTTCAGCTATAGCACTCACTACATGCAATTACACACAACCATACAATAGGATGGATGGGATAAGATGACAGTTTTAAAATCTAATGTCACAGCTGGGTGGAGGGAGAGATTGATAACAGAAGCTTTGTTTATCGAATCAACTGCAAACACGTGTAATAGGAATGATTCAACACCTGTCCAGTCGGACATCTGGAAAATTCTACTACCCGTATGACAAATAGGAGAGAACAAAGAAAACTATAAAACTCAAGTTTCGAAGTTGCGTGATTATTATGATTATTATTATTGTTTCCTTTAATTCCTAGAAGAACATAGGGCTTCAGCCGTGCGTCTCCATTGCGTTCGGTTCTCTTCTAGAGTCTTCACCTGGCTCCAAGTTTGTGATTATAATTTATGAAATGATTATGAGCAATAATAAATTGTGTTCGAAACGGCGTCATCCAGTATATAATACTGTTTCACTGACTGTGTGATACATCTAATAAACAAACTAATATGGAATTACTTACTACTACAGTGCCCAAGTTTTACACATATATGAATAACACTAATGACTTTATTCCAAACGGTACTTGTGGTACAAATAGGAAATTTGCACCTCGTAGTACTGTACTGCATCCAATTTTCTCATTATGTAGTACAGGGTTAACAAGCAATATGGAATTACATGATAAAATATCACTCAAAGACATTTGAAAAAATGTGACTCAATAGAGGCAAATATAATGAGGGACAAATACTCGCCACTGATGACATTGGCTAGCGGTCGCGCTATGTCGTGAATTGGCAGAAGTTGGAATTCATGAACTGGCCACTGGATAGGGTCCCAGTGGCCGAATGGTCATGGGTTCGAACCCTGGCAGTGGGTGCGCACTGATGAACAGTCCCAAGCACTGAGATGAAGCGGGTGTGCAATACTCTCAGATTTCCCAATGGTTCTCTGACCAGTGTCAGCTCATGATGGGGTCCTGTAACCAATCAATCAAATCCCTACAAACCAATACTTGAAAATGAGAATAATAATGATCAATTTCGGAACGACGATGTAAATATGCAACTATAACACATGTATCCGGCGCCACTGGGATAACTTTTCTAAGTCGGATTTGAAGGCTATAAGAGGGAATGGAATTAAACGAAGTCTTTCTGACCACAAAGAATGGGTTGAAGAACTTTTTTATAACAATTATCTCAACTATGCTAAGTAATCGAAGGCTTACAAACTTAGCGAATTGAGGTGTCACGTTGTATCGAATTGTAAAGGCTGAATTTCTAGTAATGTCGTGCTCCGTAAACCACGTTTAGAAATGCTCACGAAACTGATGGTGGATTTTCTGTGTCATCCTACCTATATAACTGTCTCCTCATTGGTTAGAGGATTTCACCATGAACTGTCATTGGTTAGAGAACCATTAGAAAACCTGCAGGGAGTAATGGACTGCTATTTCACCCTAGTTTGGGACTCTTCGCCAGTACGCACTCACCAACCATGGTTCGAAACCAGGGACTTCTGGTTACAAGGCGATCTAGCTCGTAGACCATTCAGCCACTAGAACTTGATCCAATGGCCCATGAATTCTAACTTCTGCCAATTCAAGACATAGCGTGACTAATAGCCAGTGTCTTCGGCGAATAGCTGTCGTCACACCCGATCTGCTGCACCCTACTGGTCACGACTCCACATTGTTTTAAATGCCTTTTGAGGAATAATATCCATCGAGACATTAGCGAAAACAAACCGTGTAGTTCAACCTTGAGGTTCTTTTCAATGAATTCATTTTCTTAACCTGTACAATCGTGTATAAAATACACTTTTCTCATGAAAGAGCGTAATAGCTCTAATACACCTTTTCAACCTCTTCTATGCATTGAATAACATTAATAACTATGCTTTCAGTGGACCCTAGTAACTAGTCTGATGTGTCTAGTCCCCTTTTTGGTGCAGACTGAGTTCTGTCAGTCAGGTTTGCCACTTGGCCATCATTCTAGATAGGTCACCATAACGGTACACTTTGAATTGTTGACGTTGTATGGTTGGAGGTAATCAGCAACGCATCACTTTTGTTATTATCCTCTTTCATACAAAAATTATAAATAAATAAATGCGATTGTACAGATGAAGAGGGGAATGAATTCGCCCAGAAAGAGCCTCATCGATGAACTACATGTGTTTTGTTTAGATTAAACGCCTATGAGTGATATTTTATTGTGTAATTTTAAAGCCTGATGAGAACCTAGCATAAATGCGTATCTGCCTGCTTAAATCGTGCTCCTAAATTTTCTCAATGCGAATATTTAGATTGTATTATATTTAGATTTCATTAAGGATAGGCAAGATAGCAAATTTCGTGTTGGAATTTAATTTTTCAACAACGCCATAGACTTGAGGTCTTAACATAAAATAGTATAATATTGCCCGTGATTAAACACAATGACCGAGCGTTTGTCAGTATATTCAATCACGTGTAACATAGGTGAGTTGCTTTCATGATCCAAGGTATGTATGGGCATGCAGGTAATCAGCAATACAGTATTTCAGTCCCTCTCAGTATACCTTCTTATGGAAGACAGGGTGTTATTTATTAGCGTTAGGAATAAGTTCTAGTCACCAAAAGAATCTACAAAATGCGCATTCACTACACTTCCCGTTAGTGTATGTATCATCAGAATCTGAACTGAGATGCTGAATATGCAATGAGCAATGGAATCGGATTCAATAACTGACAACACCCTAGAGGCGAATAATATGCGATAATTATTTTTACTACTATTATTTTGTGAGTAATATCATTTTATTCTACAAATTAATATATGCGCCAAATTTGGACACTAGTGTGGAATGTAATCCCATATCAGTTTGCATTATTGGATTAATCATACAGTGAAACAACATTATTTACTGGGTGGCAATGTTTCAAACATAATTTATTGTTCATACCCTCTAATCCTTTCTGTTCGTCATTGTAGGGGCAGTAGAATTCTCCAGATATCAGGCACAGGTGTTAAATCATTCCTATTGCACGTATTTTCACTTGATTCGATAAACGAAGCTTCCGTTATCAATCTCTCTCTTCACCCCTCTGTGACATTAGATTTTAAAACTGTTATTTTATCCCATCCATCCTATTGTATGGTAGTGTGTAATTGCATGTAGTGAGTGGTATAGCTGAACTATCCTCCAGATTTCTTATTTTATTAGTGTCAAATAATCTAGCTTTTGCTAGGATTTGTTCTCCGCTAGTCTGACTGCCCCTGTTCTACTAATTTGACCTGGCAGTCATTGCAGGCAGGATATTAGATAAACTAAATCGTTTTGTTTTATTGGCTTCACAGGATCCCTTAAGCGACAAAGCTTGTTTCTAATTGAGTTTGTGAGTGGTTTGAATGCCAGCCACTTATATCCCTGCCTTGTTAAGAATTCTGCGTAAGTTGGTTTCCGAGGTTTCTTCCGTGTATGGAATTAATACTGATGATTTAGATTCCTTATTGTTGGTGTTGTCATCATTTTGTGCATGTTTGTTATGCACGTGTAATAGAAGTGATTTAACACTTGTTCGTCCGGATATCTGCAAAATTCCACTGCCCCTCTGACAAATTGAAAAGAATAAAGAAAACTCTAAAAGGAATGTTTCGAAGTTGCATAGTTACAATTGATGAAACGATTATGAATAATAATAAATTGTGTTCGAAAATTTGTCATCCAGTAAATAATACTGTCTCACTGAATGTGTGTGATGTCTAATAAACAAATTAATATGTAATTTCATCCGGTAAATTTACCTCAGAATTGGCATAAACCGGTTGTCATACAATTATTCTGTAAGGCATTCATCCCACTGAGAGAATATTCTTACAGCTCATTTTATTTCTTTGCTGGAAATTAGTAATCTCAAAATCTATCTGTTTACATTGATAAGTTAAGGCAGTCAGGCATAACTCACCCCCTCCTCCTCTTACAGTTTGTCACCTCTTTCATCTTATATATTCTTTTTTATTCTTCACCCTATTCTTTCCTTGGCTGCTTAAAAAAGACTATGTCATACTTTGTAGAACTCTGAAGACTAGCCGTCAGTAGGGCGAGTAGTGGCATCCCATCCAATTGGGTCATATCGTTGACAGGATTATTGACTGGTCACTTGATTTCATGCAACAAATTTGCTGTAGGAATTCTGTCAGACTGTGAGCATCCACCGCAGCACCCGCAGCTTTCACCTTGTGTCTCCTCAGCAAAACAAGAAGTCATTTCAACAGACTTTATGCGCGTGCACGTCTAAGTATAGAAATTCCACGATACCATCCACATTCGCCACCTATTTTATATGATGAAAATAGTGTTAGGGACGAATTAACTGACCTTCTTTCCACTAGTAAATAAACCATTTTCTCCATCCTTATTCCATCAAGCTTTACTGTTATTATTCTTCATATATTTATAGTCCTCTAATTTTTCTGTTCATTTTCTCATACTTGCAAACACCATTTAAGTTCTGCTGTGTCAAAACAATATTAGATTCAATAATCTATAACATGCTAAGATTTCCATTCTGTGTCGACAATACTGTTTGAAACAAACTCACTCTTATTATTATCAATATTATTCTCATTTTACACTATGCTCAATTTCGACATTATTCTTACTGTAAATGTCGAGAAGACAGGGATATCCTGGACCGACGTGAAGAACCTAGAAGACCTGGATTTCGCGCGTGGATGATTTATGTTTGATGTCACACAAAATCGAAGACTTACAAGCGAAAACCGACAAACTGGTCGACGAGACCGGCAGCAAAGACAGGACTCCAGGTGAACATAAACAAGATGGACGTTATGAAAATGACCAACCAGCAACAACATCCAGCGCCAATCACCATCAACGAGAGGGATTTGAAAGAGGTTACTTCATTCACTTATCTAGGGAACATTGTCTCAACTACACGACGAACGGACGAGGATGTCAAATAGAGAATCGGGAAGGCGAGAAACACATTCATCATCAACCTCAAACCAATCTGGAAATCTTCCTCACTCAACTCACCATCAACAACAAAATTCCGATTTGCAATACAAACGACGTTAAGTCAGTTCTTCTATACGGATCAGAAACTTGGCCGGTGTGTCACAAAGAATATTTCCAACAGCCTGTTGCACACCTTTATCAACAACTAACTGTCTTCGCTCTATACTCAAGATCAGATGGCCGGAAAGAACAAGAACCAACAAGAAACTATGGGAACAAACAAAACAAGAACCAAACAGTTAGCCAACAAATATGCATGAGAAAGTGGAGATGGATTGGACACTCGCTGAGCTGAGGAGGTAGCTGAGTGACATCGCGCGTCAGGCCATAGCTCGAGTGGGACCCGTAAAGGAAGTGGCGAGTGGGACGTCAATGCTAGGGTGACATGGAGGAGATCGTGTGAAGAGGAGTTGAAACAGTATGGATGCAGGTGATCAGTACAGCAGAAGACAGAAGGAAGTGGAGGCGTGCAGTTGAAGCCCTATGTTCCACTAGGAACCCAAGGGAATAGTGATGATAATAATAATCATATAAATGTTGAAACGTCTCTGTGGTAAATTTTATTTGTAGTTTAAGTAAATTACATGTCATATTGTGACAAATGCTGAGAATTCCATTCTGTATTATTATAAGTACTGTTCTTGGAATAAAGCAGATTATTATTATTATTATTACTATTATTACCATCTTCTGTAACGTAATGCATTGAACATTAAGAAGACTGAAACATCATTGAGTCATTCATTTTGCCATATATTAAATTAATCCAATCTTGTCTTCTCTTCTAATTTTTTTTGTATTTCAGGAGTTAATTACTGAACTACAAAATGAGCTGTCTACACATCGTGAGCTAGTACTTAAACTCAGGGAATATTTATCCTCTCATCCTGAAATGACATCTCAACTTGACAGTAATACACAAGGAGCACTGGAACTGCTGAATTCTCCGATTATGCTTGGAAAAACCAATATGAATCATTTACAAAGTCAACATTTCTTTGGATCATCTAGAACTCAATCTCGCGAGGAAGTGAACAACGATTTAACGCCTAGAAGTAATACAACACAACAGTTAAGTGAAATGAAACGACAACTTCAGCTTCTACACCAACAACTAATGGAGTCTGAAGTAAGATTTAAATAAGCACTATTATTTATTTATTATTTTTATTTAAACGCAGAAAAAACTTGGTACAATATGGCACCAAAAAAGATGCGCCACACAATAATAATAAAACAACATAGATCAAAAGTAAAAATATAAGTAGAGAACGGATAAAGAACTTCATCTGGTAGGAAAATAATCGTACTTAACAAGTTCAAACAGTATTCGTTAACTATCATCGGGAAGGGAAAAGGAAAGAATGAAATTGCGGCAGGTTCGCCATTGATTATGATTCTTGGGCATATCCGATAACGTTTCGAGCGAGCCATCGATTCGAGCTATCTCGCGGACCCCAACCAGGGAGTTATGACGCACCAACCGATGCTAATCTAGCACAAATATCCTTCATCCCACGAGGCCACGTCATGGATTGACCACCCCTCCGCCTTTTCCATCCCGTCCCAGGGCTGGCTAGCGAACAGAGACACCTGTACGGAAGCCTCTGGGATGACATTCGCAGCACATGTCCAAACCACCGGAGCCGGTGTTTCCACATGACGACACTCAATGAATGGTGATCTCCACTGTGTTCAAACACACGAAACCGAACCTCAGAATTATTCACGCCGTGATGCCATCGAATGGAAGCAATCCTGCGGCGACAGAGATGATCGAACACGCAGAGTCGCCGCACATCCTCAGCTCGGAGAGACCGGGTTTCAGAGGCATAGAGCAAGACAGCCTGCACCGAAGCATTGCATACCCGACCTTTGACAGCCAGGCTAACGTCGCGATTGCGCCAGAGGTGGCTCAAGTTGATGTATACCACTCTAGCTGTCATTATACGGTTGGAAATCTCATTCGTCACCCCTCCACCAGCACTCACACAACTACCCAGATACACAAACTTATCAACAACTTCAAGCGGTTCACCCGCAAGATTGAGTGCAGGTACAGGCTCCTGCCAATCTTGTAACCGTACTTTGCACTTACTATTATTATTATTGTTATTCCCTTGTGTGCGTTACGAGTGGAACATAGAGCTTCAGCGGAACATTTTCATTTTTTTTCTACTCTCTGTGAAGCTCTTCAGCTGACCCCACGATTACCCATTGGCTTTCATCTTCTTTTTAGATGTTCTCATCCAAGTCATCTTTGGATTCACATCCATTTTATTGCTATCCATTAAGGTTCCACTGGAACGACGACCTGGCGCGAGATGTAACTTGACGGTCTCCTCAGAGTGTGTCCGATCCATCTGCGTTTTCTTCATCATATCTGCTGAGAAATATGTTCTTGACTGGTTCGTTCCCTGAGTTTATTGTTTATAATTCTTTCTAGCCAACGATTCGATTTTCATTAGGAAGCAGACTATTGGAAATGATTTTCATGATGAACTCGCCATATTTCTGACCCACATAGAAGAAATGACTGGCTTAAAATTGGTGATGAAAATCAGAATTTTGTTTCCTATGTTGAGTGGAGCAGATTTGCCAGCTGATTTGACATTGATGAAGGTCTGTGTTGTCTTTCCAGTTCTGGCTGGTTTTGACATCGTCATCCGTGTTGTCACCTGCAGTTGAAAGGATGTTGCTTGATGAGATAAGTGAGGGAAGTAACCTCTTTCAAATTTCTTCCGTTGATAGTGATTGGTGTTTGTTGTTATTGTCATTGGTCCTTCCTTGGCGGTCAGCCTGTTCTGCCAACTATTTGGTTGTCTCCTGTAGATCTTCGAGTTTGTATGACATTAGATATGAATCGTTGCTGAAGTCCTGATCGTCTAGCGTCATTCTTATCAGTCCGACGTATTCTTATCTTCTCACTCTTACTCACGGTTTGCCGCATAATCCAGACCATCACAGGGAGGAATATGACCGGTGACAGTATACAGCCTTATCTAACTCCTGCCTTCATTTCAAGGGGTTCACTGAGTTTTCTGATGTAGATCACCTGACACGCAGCATTGTCATATAGCTGTTGAATGAGGTTGATAAATATTTGACGCATTGCAATCCATAGTGTTGAAGTAGTTTCCAAATTGCTTCAGGGTCGACATTGTTGAATGCCTTTCAAAGTCGACTAAGCTGAGGTAGAGGTTTGACTGCCGTACCCTATATGCATACATACTATTCTAACAACAGAAGACAAGGGTCAGGCAACAGATCCCTTATTAAGGAAAATCAACACATATTTATAGATTTTAATGTACATTATTGTAGATTATTGTTAGTAGAAAATACAGTCTTTTGATTGGTTGTTTCTCACACAAAGTTAACCTTGCATCTCTTTGTGGCTGTGTCAGATCATCCATATGCTAACTGTATCCGCCTACGCAAAGCCTTTGTTCTCATTTTCTCACCACCAATATTGGGGACATAAACATTGACGTCAATTACTGTCTACCAACTTTGGCTAGCAGCCAGCTCTCACCACACTATCACATCAGAAGTTTGAATACAAGCGTGAGTGTAATTTGTGGTGCATCGTACGTTTGACGATCCAATAAGGGATGTACAATAAATAATCTACAATATTGACTGGTATGAGAATAGAAGTCGTGCACTGTGGTGGAGTATAATTCCCCTGGGGATAAAATTTATTTTGATTAATTCTCACAGTGTTGTTATACAGTAATATTTACTGATGACCACATTTCCAGCACAATTTATTGCTGCTCATAATCATGTCAACACACTACTCACACAACTATCCAACTTCCTTTACATAATTCCATTATTTTCCATCGCTTGATTTGATTGGTAGTAATATTTTCTATATTTCTGGCGTTTGTGATGAGTCATTCCCTTAACTTATGTTGAGTGTAGATTATTCGATGAACCGGGATTCAGTAATCAATCTCTCTCCACCTATATAGATTACTTCTTAGAATTTTGACTCTGTTCCACCCTATTGTGTGATTTGTAGGTTAATGCGTGCAGTGCGATTGGTGAGTTTTTTTCTAAATTACTTATCATCGTGGGATCAATTACTCTAACCTTAGCTAAATTCTTGCGTTCTGACAATCTGAGTACCCCCAAATACTAGAGCCTACGTGCTGCAATTATTTTTTTTTAAAATAACATTATTAGCGGAAGATTTCAATCTGAAAATGAACAAGGAGAATTAGCCATGATGTTAGATTGTAAAATAAAACGAATAGAAGAAGGTAAACTGCACACTAGCGTTTTTAAAAATCCAACGCATTCTGCTAATAGATATTTGTACTTGAATTTATCTCATCCGTACGTTATCTGTAAAGGCAGGCTCAGTTAAGTGTCTAACAAACCGAGCAATACAACTAAGTAGCACAAAAAAGACCTAAATGGTGAAATAAAACAGATAGAAGAAGCGTTGGTGTTCAATAACTAACTATCCTTTAAAATTCATCAGGAAGATCGAAAAAGGTCAAAAGCAAAATAAAAATAATGGTGAAACTAATAATGATAACACAAACACGAAAAAATGTAAGGCGTCTAAAGTAGTTTTACCATATAAGGAGGGGACATTTGAAGCCCCACGTAGGATTCTTAATAAAGCAGGAATTAGGGTGGCATTAAAACCTACGAACTCACTCAGAGACAAGCTCTGTAGGTTAAAGGACCCTGTAGGTTGACACAACTACACAAAATAATATAATTCACAAAATACCTTGCAATGACTCCGAGTTAAGTCAACTACACAGGTCAAACTAGTAGGTTGGGAGTGGTGAGATTGTCTATCAGAACATAAGAATTTAACTAAGGTTAGAATGATTGATCTCACGATGATAAGTAATTTAGAAAAAAGCTCACCAATCGCACTGCATGTATTAACGCACAACCACACAATAGGGTGAGATAAAGTCAAAATTCTGAAAAGTCACATATGTAGGTGGAGAGAGAGGCGGATTCTTGAATCCTGGTTCATCGAGTCTACACCCAACACATGCAATAGGAATGACTCATCACTCATACCGGAAATATGGAAAATACTACTACCAATTAAATCAAGAGATGGGGAATAGTAGAATTATATAAGGGAAGTTGGAAAGTTGGTGTCAGTATTGCTTTGATATGCTTATGAGCAGCAATAAATTGTGCTGGAAGCATGGTCATCAGTAAATATTACTGTATAACACATTGTGAGACTTTATCAAATTTAACTTTATCCACAATGGAATTGTTATATTAACTGGACATCCCAAAGGTTCTACAACTGATTGTCAATTAGTAATTTTTACAGTACAGTTACAATATATCATAAACGCATGTTGAAGATCACAATGAATAATTCTGGGGTTATTAGCCTTGTGAAAAAGTATTTTCATTCTGAACTTTGGCCTTATTAATTTCTCACCATAGTGTTATGTTACTTAGTTTAGTCAACGTGTTGCACACTTGATCGATAAACTTTAGATCAGATCACTGAAAAATGGTCTTACAGTATGCTTGATATGTAGACAAATGTAAACATGACAAAAACTTATATAATTACGTGTCTGTTAGAAATGACGCAGCTCAAACTATTAAAGTAGTGGAAAAACGGAAAAATAAATAGAAGTGATAATACAACTTGAAAGATTTGGCTGTTAAGGAGTACATTTGTTCCTTAATAAATATTATTATTATTCCCTCGGGTTTCGAGTGAAAAATGGGGCTTCCACATTACTGTCATTATTGTTTCCTTTAGTTCCTAGAGGGACATAGGGCTTCAGCCACACGTCTCCATTGCGTTCGGTTCTCCATCAACCTTTTCACCTGACTCCACGTCCGCCCACATGCTTTCATCTCCTCTTCGCATCATCTCCTTCTGCTCCTCCAATTCACCCTCACACTCACGACCAACTAACTCGCCACTTTCCATTCGAGTTCCACTCGAGCGATGGTCTGAAATGTGATGTCACTTGATGGTTTGTTTTCTCAGAGTATATCCAGGCCAATCCACCTCCATTTCTTCCTGCATATTTGTTGCACAGTCGGTTCCTGGTAGGTTGGTTCGCTCATTACTAGAGATCCCTCTTGTTGATGATCTTTTCTAGCTGGCCATCTGATCTTGAGTGGTATTGAGCGAAGACAGCTGTTGATGAATATGTGTAGTTTGTTCGAATTGGTCTTCGTGAGGCGCCAAGTCTGTGATCCGTATAGTAGGTAGCACTGACTTCACAATGGAGTTGAAAATCCACAGCTTATTTTGCATGCTGAGGAGTGCTGTTGACCTCCACACAGACTTGAGAGTAATGAAAGCTTGCCTTGCTTCCCCGATCTTCGCTTACATATCCTCATCAGTTCCGTCCGCATGTAGTTGAAAAGATGGTTCCCAGGTAGGTAGTTAGGTGAAGGAGGTTGCTTCTTTCAGATTTCTCTCATATATGCTGGCTGATTGTTGTCTGCTGTTGCTGTTGGCCTAGGAATCTTCATCATCTCTGTTTTTGGGTTTCCACAGCACGTCTCTATTTTGTCCTGTTCTCTGCAGTTGTCTTCAAGCGGCTATACGGTTTTCCATAAACCGCCATCTCCTCCTCACACAATCTCCTCTATGACACTCCCGGATATCCAACTCATTATTTTTCACTCGGATTTCACTCGAGCGATGGCCTGGCATGCTATGTCACTCGATGGTTGCCTCAGCTCATGCTAGCTTCGTCTCTATTTTCTCCGGTATATTCACCTCACTAAATATTTGTGTGGTATGTATGCACTACAACCGATTAAAAATGATAAAAACCTGGTTGAATTTCTGTTTTCATGTCAAAGCCACTATGGTAGTGGAAACAGTAGTTCTAATCCACGAGAAAACTGATTGGAAAGTACAGGAATTTGACTGAAGACCTCCAAACAGAACCTCAGTGCATTTGAGTATTCAGTGAGATATTCTTTTGTTCGGATAAAAGACTCACCTCCGACCTCCTTCGCCTTATTATTATTAGTTCCTTAGGTTACAAGTGGAACATAGGGCTTCAGTGGCACGTTGGCATTTTGTGTTGTCTTCTTCAAATGGCCCAACTATTGTCCATAGGCTTTCATCTCCTCCTCACATGATCTCCTTTGCGTCACCTTTGAACACACGCCCAACTCGTCATTCTACTCGAACGATGTCCCGGCGCGAGATATCATTCGCAGGTCTCCTCAGGGTGTATCCAATCCGCCTCCATTTTCTTTGGGACATTTGTTGAGTAGTAGGTTCCCTGATTGCTTTGTTCGCCACCACAGTTTCTTGTTGCTAATTCTACCTGACTGGCTTGTCATCTGATGTTTAGCATGCAGCCAGTGAAGTGGGCAGCTGTTGATAAAAGTCTCCAGTCTGTTAGAAACGCTTTTTGTGACGCATTATGTTGAGAAGCCATGCTTCTGCTAATCAATAAATAAAATAGTTATGCTTCCATCTCATAAACAGTTACCTCGAAAATCTATGACGTAGTCAGCCGAACTATTTAACAACACCACATGTCACCTACCATATATCGTTACTGTTTCATGCTGTTTCAGACTTATCCTCTTGCACCTCCACCATCTCCAGTCAGAAATCTGAATTATAGAAAAAACAAGTATAAAGTAATTTGGTGAGTGGTGACTGATTAGTAGTGGAATTCGCGAAGCGTATTTCGTCCCATTTTGGGACTCATCATCCGGATGTGCCTGCATTCCCCAGTGAATGATTGTGTTCCCATTGAGGCTATAACTCACTACCTATCATTTCAAATCCCAGTCTCATTGACAGTACCATTACTTAGTAGAGAATGCAGGTATATCCGGATGATGTGTCCCAATTAGGACGAAATGCATATCCTAGATTCCACTGTAAATCACCATTCACCAAATTACTTCAAGTGTATCCTCAGACATCGCTGAAGCATCCATACTAAGTAGGAGCTGACACTGTCAACACAGGCCGAACACTTCGGTCCAATCAGTCAACGGGGAAATCAAAACTGAATTATAAACTATACATATATATATATAAAAGACAGCTGCAGAGAAGAAAATTTTCTTTTCGATGAAGTCATCATCTAGGCTGTACATTCGTGTATTTATATCAAATGGATAGGAAAGTTCCAGGATAATTTCTGGTTAAGGGTCAAATTAACTAACAAAAAATTACAATTAGGAATTAGAATGCCATAATCAATAGGGGGACGGATAGAACTCAAACAAAGTAGCAAAATAACTAAGAAGATTGACATTGTGCGATTGGAGGTTAGAAATGTAGAAATAACAAAGTAACAAAAACTAATGTGATGAATAATTGTTTATGCAATCAGCGATTAAATATGTAGAAATAATAAAATGACAAAATAGACAGGATGTTCCGATATGAAAATATGGTAGTGTAGATAGGGATTAAGAAAAACTTAAAAATAAGGTGAATAAACAGGAAGTTTAAATAAGAAAGGCGATGGGATGGTTATTACTAAAAAAAAATTTACCTGTTTATGATGGCTATGGCAGGGACAAGGGTTGGACGTATTGGATACAAAGTGTGAGTTTGAGTTTTTGGATGACTAGTGCCTCGGCTATGCCCAGATGTCTTGATTTCGCTCCCTTTGATAGGTTTGATTGAATCTTGTATATTACTTTGAAGGATTTTTCGAATGTGTCGCTGAATGTCCTGAATTGACCAGATGTTCTGTCACTGAACTGTATACATGCTTTTGGTCTCCTTTTACTAGCCAGGCTGGGAAGTGTTCGCGAGCGCGTTTTCCAAGTCGGCGCATGATACAGTCGATGTACTCAGCTCCACAAGAGCAAGTAAACTGGTATTGCACAATGTCAATCTTCTTAGTTATTATAATGCTACTTTGTTTGAGTTTTATCTGTCCCCTTCCTGTTAATTATGGCATTCTAATTCCTAATTGTAATTTTTACTAATTTAACCCCTAACCAGAAATTATTCTGGGACTTTCCTATCCATTTGATATAAATACACGAATGTACAGCTTAGTTGATGACTTCGTCGAAAAGAAAATTTTTCTTGCTGCAGCCGTCTTTTTATTCCATATATATATATCCGATTTAAACATTTTCCTATACTTTGTATTTTTTTAGGATACTGTGAAACAAGAAGCAGAAAACAGAGAAGAATTAGAAGCTGAAAACTTTAGTTTATATGATAAAATTTCTATACTGGACAGACAATTACGTCATATCCAAGATGAATATGATGAATTAGTGAAGAAAGAAATGATGAATCAGCGTACACTGAAAGAAGTTCAAGAACTCCTGGATGATGAATCCAGAAAATGTACAAAACTTGAACAACAGAATAAAGAACTGGAACAACAATTAGCTGAACTGCGTGAATACACTGAACCAGAAGATGATATAGGTAGGTTAATAGAAATATCAGTTATGAAACCTATTCGTCATATATGTATATATACCAATCTGTTAAACTGAATACTTTTCGATGTTATTGGTTGCCGGTAGCACTATATCGTCAAACTGATGGTCGTTGGAATCTGCCCAAGAGGCTGAATGGTCGATGAGCTTCGTCTTGTAACCTGAAGACCCTGTTGGATCATGAGTACTCACTGCTGAAGAGTACCAAACTAGGGCGAAACAGCTACCCAGCGACTCCAGTAAATCAGGCGCATTTAAGATAAATTATCTGCATTATTCATAAACATAATGATACTCAGAGTAGTTGTGTCTGTTTTTTACACTTCAAACAGATTCCAAGATAAACATTTCAGATGTTCATTGAAGGTATTTGCAAAAATTTAGGTATTTTCCCACTTTTCGTTATCTTAAACTGAACTTTTGAATATTACTGGGAGTTTCTCCTTAGTTGTAATCATAAAAAGAGTGTAGGGAAGCATATCATCATATGTCAGTACTTTCAGGGCTAATTTCACCTATCTTCATGAAACAAATACTACTACACTTTATGACATCATGTTACTGTAACCAGTTGCGTATCTGGGTACTTCTTGTTAACTTCCTTGATTCATTTTTCCAGTTGTTTCTGTTAATTCATTTTTGTCGGGATTTCTGATTTATGTTATCCCCGATGAACAACTCCAGCCTAGTACAGTTTTGACCTGATAAACTGTTAGTAAAATACATATTTAAAAAAAACAACCTTGCTTAACTGCCTGGTTTTAATATGACTGAGAAGCGAGTTGATAGGGATTTGTTGTTGATTTAAGTGAATGTCTTGCTAGATTTCCAGTAAGTAAAGTGGAACTAGTATCCAGAATGAATCCTGAACAAAGAATACTCTTTTCGATAACTTCATCATCAGGCTCTACAGTTATATATGCACACTATAGTGAATGAATGAATCCGTGTTATTAACAACATTAATGTTGTTTAAATAACATGGAATCAATAATATTGATAGATTACAGCTCAATAGCATCAACATAAAATAAGCTGAATGTCAGAAACATTAGGAAAAATAATCACAACACAGAATTCATGAATTTATAGTCTCCACTAAAGCCCGGCCAGGGCAGTAGTAATGGCTGGCTAGAGCTGCTTCTTCTTCTGCGTACAAAGCTCCAGTTGTTACAGGCGAATAGCAATAGCCTCAGCTGTTTGGAGTTTGTGGAACACGGATGTTTTTGGCAATTTATTTGGTACCTGGTAGTTGATAATATAGTTGATTCTTCAATATCAGCTTTGTGGCCAGTTTGGATCAGGTGTTGTAATATTGAACTGCTGACGCTTCTAACTGCACCTATATTTAACCACACTGGTAGATGTTCCGTAGCAAGCACGAAGAATCAAGTTCCGAGAGCAACAACCAATATAACTCGCTCCACCACAAGTGCATTTGCTATTGAACTGTAGTCCATTGATATTATTATTATTATTATTATTATTAGTTGATTCTATGTTATTTACGGATTCCTTCGAAGTGAGGACGGGAGTAAGACAAGGCTGCCTACTATCGCCAATCATTTTCCTGACTGCAGTAGATTGGATAATGCGACAAACAGTGGACAATGAGGAAACAGGCATAAAATGGACTCACACAAAATACGAACTTGGAGGATCTGGACTTCGCCGATGATATATGTCTGATTTCCCACAAACTGGAAGATATGCAAGCGAAAAGCAACAAGTTGGCAGAAGAAGCATCAAGATAGGACTTCAGGTGAACATAGAGAAGACAGAGGTGATAAAGATTCCTGGGCAACACCACCAACAGCAACAACAGCAACAGACAACAATCTGCCAGCATAAATGGAAGGAACCTGGAAGAAACAACCTCCTTTACCTACCTACCTAGGAAGCATTGTTTCAACTACAGGCGGCGGAAATGATTAGTATATCAAAGCGAGGATTCGGAAAGCAAGGCGAGCTTTGACTACTCTCAAGTCTGTGTGGAGGTCAACAGCACCCAGCATGAAAAAGAAGATCCGGAATTTCAACTCCAATGTGAAGTCAGTGCTGCTATATGGATCAGAGACTTGCACTGCGCGTCATAAAGAGCATCTCAAACAAACTACAGACCTTCATTAACAGTTGCCTTCGCTCAATACTCCGCTCAAGATCAGATGGCCAGAAAGGATCAGAAACAGAGATCTCTGGGAGCGAACCAACCAGGAACGGATTGTGAAACAAATATGCAGGAAGAAATGGAGATGGATTGGCCTGGCCATACTCTGAGGAAACCATCAAGTGACATCACTAGACAAGGCATTGCTCGAGTGGAACCCGAATAGGAAGTGGCGAGTTGTTCGTCAGTTCGAGGGTGACATGGGGGAGGTGATGTGAAGAGGAGATGAAAACATGTGGGCAGACTTGGAGCCAGATGAAGACTCTAGCAGAGAACCGAACGCAATGGAGACGCACGGCTGAAGCCCTATGTTCCTCTAGGAATTAAAGGAAACAATAATAATGATGTTATTTAAACAACATTAATTTATTCATACACTATTATGTATGTAAAACTTTAGAAACTGATGGTGAAGACATCGAAAAGGAAAATCTTTGTTCAGTAACTGTTCCTTTGAAAATAAAACTTTTAATGGGTATTTTAATCAGTAAAAGTAATATATTACTAAACACTTTTCTAGTGCATAACATTAAAATGAAATATATAATTAAGTAACATTTATTTCGATTGGCGAATCTTCTTCGAGAAAAAAACGAGTAGAAACAGTCAAGCAATAAAAGTCTTTGATTGAACATTAGGTAACAATTAATCTTGCACATCTACTCCTTCGTTAAATGAAGACTGAATTCTACCAGTCAGATTTACAATGTAGTCACTTTGCTGACGAGTGCCAACAGGCAAAACATCTAGTTGATCCTAGGCCTCCTGTCGACTACCTTCAGCGATCTAATAACAATTCAGAATTCACTCACTACCTAGTGTCCAATCAAATTCTCCAGTATAGTCCCATAGGAGGTCAATCACGAGCCCAGGTAGCATTCGGTGACCCCGGGTTAAATCTCAGAAAGGATATGAATTCCTTCACAAATATATTAACACGCTTTGTTGACGAGTACAGACAAGCACGGAACCTAGGCCCAAGACTTCCTTCCGATTGCCTCCAACCATCTAATAACAGCCAGTCCTGACATTGGCTGATAGATGGTCATGACTTGGTAGAAGCTGGAGTTCTTAAGCTGGCCATTGCATCTAGTCCCAGTGTCTGACTAGTCTACAAGCTTGCTTTGTAACTGGGAGATCCTGGGCTCGAAGCCTGTCGGTGGGTGCGTACTGATGAAGAGCCCCAGACTAGGATGACACAGCTGTCAAGTACAGCTAGGTTTCTCAGTAGTTCTCTATCTGATATTAGCTCGTGATTAGACTTTTAACCAAACAAATCTCTGCGAACCGACACCTGGAATTTTAATCACACTCAGCGGTTATAATACTAGTACCCGCCAAATTCCCTTGGACAAGATTCAAAACAGCTGTCTCTTAGCTTGAAGATGGGTTTAAGTGTATGAAATATGGTTTTAAAATAATCTCTTTAAAAGGTCTCTTAACATATTTTTCATTATTTCTTATGAGATACACTTTTCATACTACTTTGTAAATGAATCGATCTGGTGTCACTTATTTCAGCCTTCCGACATGACATATTCCTCCTGTTGAACTTAAATTGCTTCCACGTATTTAGCTCATAACGCTTTGCACATTTCAAAATTTTGACACACTGATACAGAATAACACTGTCAATAAGCCGGTGTAGTACATACTAGTTTCTAAAACATTTTACTGCTAATTCTGATCAAGTACTTACCGATGTTCATAAAGTTGGCACAGTGGTTAGAACTCTTGCCAACCATGCACATGGTCCGGGGTACGATCCCCTGCCGGCGCACACCTGATATCTATGGTCAGCCTGCAAAATTTGGGCTACCGATATCACATGCTGAAAATTCCATACTTGTACTGAAAATACGGTGTGGGATCAAGCTGTAATAAAAAAAATTAAAGATACCATGTCAACTTAAATCATTTTCAAGCGTTGATTTGTAAGGATTGGATTTTCTTTTCACGAGTTTTCCCAGGGACATCTGTTTTACCCTAGTTTGGGAATCATCAGCAGTACGCACCCACCACACGGGTTTGAATCCTGGTCCTTCCGGTTACAGTGAGGTCCATCCAGTCAAGAGTGTGGATGGATTTCCAACCGATGACATTGGTTGGTGCCAGTCGCGCTAAATCACGAATTGGTAGAAGCTAGAATTCACGAGCTGCCCATTGGATTGGGTCCCAGTGGCTGAATGGTATATGAGTTAGCTTGCCTTGTAACCAGAAAGTCTTGAGTTCGAACCCCAGTGGGTGCGCACAGCCGATGATTCCCAAACTAGGATGAAACGGCTGTCCAGTACTCCAGTGCTGGTTTTCAATGGTTCTCTCTCTAACTGATATCAATCCGTGATCAAACTCGTAGAAATCATTTTGCACAGCATCGTAATATAACTTAACACAAAGTATTTATCACTATTCAGTACTGGTGGCTTTAATGATCCTCTCCAACAAACTAACAGTGGTTTCTAAACTTGTAGATGTTTAATAATAATTTGCTTTATTCCAAAACAGTACTTGTGATACAGAATGGAATTCTCAGCATTTCACTACAGTATTGCATCCAGTTTGTACATTAACAATAAATAAAATTCTACATAGATTATGGGTAGTCTCAGTTCATTATGACAACAACATATTGGCATGTCGGTGGCAAAGCCAGAAGTGAACAGAGTGTTTGAAGGTGTTAGAAAAGTAGATGCTAGCATATTTACTGGCATAAGCGGTAACAAAAAGGTCGAGATATACAGAGTGTGGAAGAACGAGAAGAAGAGAAAGGAAGCAAGAAAGAAAACTTTGTACCTATAAATGATATGAGTTGGAAAGACGAGATCCAATTATTCTACTGACTATTTAATAAATAATTTACAAGTTTCACGCCTAATGCTTTCTTTATCGCACAGAACACGAGCTAAGTAGGGTATGGTTGAGTTTTTGTACTTGCTAATGAAAGCATATAGTTTTCTATATTGGCTTCTGGTTTTACCTGATGAGATGCAGGGGAAGAGTTGTGAATGAAGAGGGTGGTGTGAGTTAGATAAAATGGATTCGGCCCATTTTTCACATGAGTCCATGTGCCTGTCAACCAGAATATTAACAACAAGCTGGTTAAGTGACACATTGCTTACCCTGCTGACAACCTTTAACACCTTACGTAATAAGATATAGTCTTTCTTCAGTAGCCCTGGAAAAACTAACGGGGAACAATAGAGAATAATAGGCAGAATGCGAGAGTTAACGAATCGTAAGAGTAAGGGTTGTGTTGGGTTATTCCAGAATGTCTTAACTTCTTGATGTAGAAGGTAAGACAGAATATTTTCTTAGAAATCATTAGGATATGAGACGACCAGAAGAGATCAGCAGATAGAATGACGCCTAGGTATTTAATTTCCGACTTAATCTCTACTTTAGTGCCATCTATGTTGCACACCTCGTGAGTGCTAACCAGTTTGTTTAGATCAGATTTATGCCTAAAGGTGAAATCGACTGTTTGGCATTTGGAGGGATTTAAGGTTAGACCATTTTCCTTGGATCATTGGCTGATTTCTGATAAAAAGCCATTTAGTTTGTCCTAAGTATAACTATATAATTAATCAATTAAACTTATGAATGCAATTTCCCTTATATTGTATTCAGTTGCTAAGGAATGGGAATCAATGAAATCGAAACTACGAGCTGATGCAATGTTTTACAAGAGAAGTTTAGATCAACTACGTGAGGAATATGAACAATATCGTATTGATCATGATCCAGAAGCTATGCAGAGACAAGTAAGTGACAGCTTACAAAATAATAATTTAAAAAATATATATTTTCCTCCTTACACTACAGCAATTCATTCACATAAGAATGTTCAATTTTCAAGTGATTTTCGCAGTAATAAGTGCTACCACTACAGTAGAAGCGTGCGTCGGTGGCACAGTGGCAGAATGCTCGCTAACGACGCCTCATGTGGTTTGGCGTTCGAGACCCGGCCACCGACGCACTCCTTTACCTCAACCCACTAAGCCAGTAATAAGACTGGTAGAGAGGGAAGGTTGGGCATCAGGCTGGCTAGCAACCCCATCCCGTAAAAATAAACCACACCACTGATACGGGAACTTCAAGCCTCTAGCTTGAAGGCGCCCTATCGTCCACTGGGAACGTGAAGGAATTAAAAAAACCAAACAGTAGAAGCGTATAATCCTAACAAATTTTCGAAAGTTAGCAGATTGTTTACCGGGCATCCATTGTTCAAAATCTTGTTTTTTCATAAGGTTTTGGTCTGAATTGTTGTCGGGTAGTTGGAGGCTATTGACAGGAAGCCTTAGACGCAGACTTGTTGCTTTTTGACACTCGTGGTGGTAAAGCAGCTGTCTTTTACTTTTTGTAGTTTTTAGGTTGAATGTATTTTATCTTCACCGATATCAACTAAGGGTAATGAACACGATTTCGTCTTATTTCAGATAGATAGATAGATGTTCGTTCGTCCTAGCCAATAATGGTGTTCTCACTGAGAGTGATTTCCACACCCTATCTATCTATATATCTTTCAAAAGACTAAGTCTTATCACCTAGAATTATTATTGTTTCCTTTAATTCCTAGAGGAACATAGGGCTTCCACTGCACGTCTCCATTGCGTTCGGTTCTCTGCTAGAGTCTTCACCTGGCTCCAAGTCTGCCCACATGCTTTCACCTTCTCTTCACATGACCTCCTCCAAGTCAACCTTGCACTGACGACCAACTTGCCGCTTTCCATTAGGGTTCCACTCGAGCAATGGCTTGTCTAGTGATGTCACTTGATGGTTTCCTCAGAGTATGGCCAATCCACTTCCATTTCTTCCTGCAGATTTTTCGCATAATCTGTTCCTGGTTGGTTTGCTCCCAGAGATCCCTAGAATTATGAGTCGTAAGAGCCGATCATCTAACAACGCAATTCAAAATGCTACCTAGGATGGTGATTACATTGAAACCCTGACTGATAGAATTCAGTCTCCATAGTACCAAGGAGCAGACATATGATCCTAGTTACTAGCTAATGCATAATCAAAGTATCCAGTAGAGTCCTAAATGACGTCAGCTGTGCTCGTGAATAGCTCAGTGGTAACGTCTATGAATGAAGAACTGGTTGACAGGGATTCGATACGTCTAGGCATGGACATGAGTTCCTTTTGTAGATTTCCGATACGTCTTGCTGCCTGGTGAGTGCCAACACACACGAAACCTAGGTGGGGCGGCAAGGCTTCCTGTCGATTGCCTCCAAACATTTGCAATCATAGTATATGATCTGTTTAATACCATAATTTGGTAATCAAGAAGGCAAGCACTACTGATTGATAAGAGTGCTGGTATGCAACTACTCATCTCAGTCAATCAGTAGTATATTTAATTTTACGCAATTATGCATGACTTCGGTTTTTCCACGGGCTTTTATGATATTTTGAAAATAAAAGTTTAAGATGCAGTTAATAAGCCATGAGAGAGAATTATAGACAATAATTAGATAAGCATGACTGAAGGTGATCTCAATAAAAATATGTTTATTGAATTATTCAGGTGCCAAACAGTATTATTTAATGGATGATAAGGTTTCAAGCACAATCTATTCTTTATAATCACATCGTCGTCGTAGAAGTAGCAGAATTTTCCAGATATCCGGCTGGACTGGTGTTGAATCATTCCTATTACACGTGTTTGCAGTTGATTCGATAAATAAATTTTCCGTTAGCAATCTCTCCCTCCACCCAGCTGTGACATTAGATTTTAAAACTGTCACCTTATCCCATCCTATTGTATAATTGTGTGTAGTTGCATATATTGCTTGTGATAGCTGAACTATCCTCCAGATTTCTTATCGTTTTTGGGTCAACTGACTTAGATTTGGCTAGGTTTTTGTACTCCCCTAGTCTGACTGATCCCGTTCTACTAATTTGACCTGGCAGTCATTCCAGCACTGTTAGATAAACTAAATTGTTTTGTTTAGTGGCCTCCACATGATCCTTTAACCGACAAGGCTTGTTTCTGAGGGCGCCAGTGGGGTGTTGAATGTTACTCTTATTCCTGCGTTGTTAAGAATCTTATGTTAACCTTCATAGGATGCTTCTTTGTATGGAAATACTACTGATGATTTAGATTACTTATTGTCGGTGTTGTCATTATTCTGTGCATGTTTTTATGCACGTGTAACAGAAATGACTCAACACTTGTTCATTCGGATATCTAGAAAATTCCATTGCCCCTATGAAAAATTGAAAGGAATAAAGAAAACTCTAAAAGGAATGTTTCAAAGTTGTATTTTTTTTCCTTCACGTTTCCCAGTGGAACATCGGGCTTCAAACTAAAGGCTTGAAGTTTCTGTAGCAGCGTTTATTTTACAGGAAGGGGTTGCTAGCTTCATGCCCAACCTTTCCTCTTCACCAGTATTATTTGTGGCTTAGCGAGGTAAAGGAGTGCGTCGGCCGGGGATCGAACCCCGGACTGAGTTGAATGGTCGGCGAGCGTCCTAACCGCTATGCCACCGACGCACTTCAAAGTTGTATAGTTACAATTAGTGAAACGATTATGAAGAATAATAAATTGTGTTCGAAACTTCTTCATTCAGTAAAAAATACTCTTTCATTGTGTGTGTGGGATATATGTAATACTGAATTACATAGCACACCACAGGGTCCAAGTTTTGCACACATATATATCAGCCATGAATTCCAGCAATATATTTCATATAGCTTGCTGTAGTAATGTAAAGCTCCTTTATGGAGACTAGAAATTACCCGAATAACCGCAAACAAACTGTCAGAATTTCGAGATTCTAAGTAGATCAAATCATTTTATGTGTATAGGAATTTTACATTCACCTTAAAGACTAAGACATTGCCGCATTTTCTTATAGGATAACAAAGATTCTTTGTCTCCACTGCTGTTTCTCTCGACGACATGCTATCAGTAATAGACTTTCCACGATTATGTGCGTCGGTGGCACAGCGGTTAGAACACTCGCCGACCATGCACATGGTCCGGGGTTCGATTCCAGGCTGACGCACACTTGATATCGATGGTCGGCTTGTCAAATTTGGTCTACCGATATCATATGTCCCCTCTTTATATGGTATAACAGTAGATGCTTTATATTCACTCATATTTATGTTATCATTACTAGTTTCACAATTCTTTTTATTTTTCTTTTGGCGTTTTTCAATCTTCATAACGAATTTTAAAGGATAGGTATTTAACACCAACGCCTCTTCTATCTGTTTTATTTCATCATTTAGGTCTTTTTTCGTGCTACTTAGTGCCATTGCTGTGTTTGTTAAACACTTAACTAAGCCAGCCTTAACAGTTAAAGGATGAGATGAATTAAAGTCTAAATATCTATTAGAATGCGTTGGTTTTCTATAAACACTAGTGTGGAGTTTGCCTTCTTCTATTCGTTTTATTTTAAAATCTAACATAGCTAATTCTCCTTGCTCATTTTCGGCTTCAAATGTGAATTTTATTCCCTCCACTAGTGAGTTTATGTGTGTCAAGAAGTTAGAGATATGTTCTGTTTTTAACACTGTGAAAGTGTCATCCACATATCTCCACCATATTTTTGGAGTAGGATTAAACGTATTAGGTGCAGTATTTTCCCAGCTATCCATAAATATATCTGCTACGATAGGGGATATTGGTGATCCCATTGCTACACCTTCTGTTTGTCTATATATTTTGCCTTGGAATTTAAATATAGTAGATGTGAGGCATAGCTGAATCCCTAAAATAATTTCTTTATTGGACAGCTTTGTCCTATGATTGAGTTCAGGATCCGCAGTCAGTTCTTTTTTAACTGCTTCTAAGTCCATATTGACTGGTATATTAGTATAAAGACTGGTTATATCAAAACTAACCATGCCTAAAACTAATACCGGCATCATATGCTGAAAATTTCATACTTGTACCAAAAATATGGTTTGGAATCAAGTTATAATAAAATATAAAATAAATAATAAATGTTCAACAGTGAACATTCCATTCAAAAAATTAATCACTTTGTGTTCAGCGAATGCTTAAAGCGTCTGAACTTTATTCACTATGAACTTAAATTATTCTTTGATAAATATCTATCTATCTTCATGTCTATCCGCCCTGCACCGCCCCCATCTCTTCGGAAGTCATATAATTGTATACAAACAGAACTTTACCTGTCAAATACTCAATAGTCTTAATTGCATAACTCTCTATCTCTAGAATGGTTAACAGAATTTCAGTCAATAATATTGATTTATTTTCAGTGAAATTCATTCAATATTTTACTAGAATATTGAACGATACATGCAGTCTGACTGATAATGTTATAAACTTGTCACTTCCCAAAAATCTTAGTCGAGCCAATCGACTAAACCTCTAAACGAAACTACTTTTTCAGTTGAAACAAGAATACTGAAAACAATATATGTGTAAAACTTGGGCACTGTGGTAGTAAGTAATTCCATATTAGTTTGTTTATTAAATGCATCACACAGTCAGTGAAACAGTATTATTTACTGGTTGACGAGGTTTCGAACAAAATTTATTGTTCATAATCATCTCATCAATAATAATCACACGACTTCGAAACTTGAATTTGATAGTTTTCTTTGTTCTCTCCTATTTGTCGTCGTTGGGGTAGTAGAATTTTCCAGATTCCTGGCTAGACAGGTGTTGAATCATTCCTATTACATGGGATCACAAATATTCCAGGTTGCAGCAGATATATTCATACATAAGTGGGAAAACAGCGATTGAAACGTTCACCCCCACTCCAAAAGTATGGTG